ATAAAAAAAAAAACTCAAAAGCTAGCAGAAGACAAGAAATAACTAAGATCAGAGCAGAACTGAAGGAGATAGAGACATGAAAAGCCCTTCAATAATCAGTAAATCCAAGAGCTGGTTTTTTGAAAAGGTCAACAAAATAGACAGACCACTAGCCAGACTGGTAAAAAAGAAAAGAGAGAGCAACCAAATAGATGCAATAAAAAATGATAAAGGGATAATCACCACAGATTCCACAGAAATTCAAACCATCATCAGAGAATATTACAAACAACTCTATGCACATAAACTAGTAAACCTGGAAGAAATGGATAAATTCCTGGACACCTCTGTCCTCCCAAGCCTAAACCAGGCGGAAGCTGAAACTATGAATAGACCAATAACAAGGTCTGAAGTTGAGGCAGCAATTAAGAGCCTACCACACAAAAAAAGCCCAGGTTCAGATGGGTTCACAGCCGAATTCTACCAGACACACAAAGAGGAGCTGGTACCATACCTCCTGAAACTATTCCAAATAATTCAAAAAGAGGTAATCCTTCCCAAATCATTTTATGAGACCAACATCATCCTGATACCAAAACACAGCAGACACTCAACAAGAAAAGAAAACTTCAGGCCAATATCCATGATGAACATAGATGCAAAAATCTTCAATAAAATACTGGCAAGCAGATTGCAACAGTACATCAAAAACCTTATCCATCATAATCAAGTAGGATTCATCCCGGGGATGCAAGGCTGGTTCAACATATGCAAGTCTATGAATGTAATTCACCACATAAACAGAACCAAAAACAAAAAACCACATGATTATCTCAATTGACGCAGAGAAGGCATTTGACAAAATTCAACAGCCCTTTACGCTATAAACGCTCAATAAACTCGGTATTGATGGAACGTATCTCAAAGTAATAAAAGCTATTTATGGCAAACCAGCAGCCAATATCATACTGAATGGGCAAAAACTGGAAGCATTCCCTTTGAAATCTGGCACTAGACAAGGATGCCCTCTTTCACCACTCCTATTCAATATAGTACTGGAAGTTCTAGCCAGAGCAATCAGGCAAGAAAAAGAAATAAAGGTTATTCAAATAGGAAAGGTGGAAGCCAAATTGTCTCTATTTGCAGACGACATGATAGTATACCTAGAAGACCCCAACGCCTCAGCCCAAAAATTCCTGAAACTGATAAGCAACTTCAGCAGTCTCAGGATATAAAATCAATGTGCAAAAATCACAAGCATTCCTATACACCAATCACAGACTTAAAGAGAGCCAAATCAAGAACAAACTGCCATTCACAATTGCTACAAAAAGAATAAAATACCTAGGAATACAACTTACAAGGAACATAAGAGACGTCTTCAAGGAAAACTACAAACCACTGCTCAATGAAATAAGAGAGGAGGCAAACAGATGGAGAAACATTCCATGTTCATGGTTAGGAAGAATTAATATCGTGAAAATGGCTATACTGCCCAAAGTAACTTACAGAATCAATGCTATCCCCATCAAGCTACCATTGACTTTCTTCACAGAACTGGAAAAAACCACCATGAACTTCATATGGAGCCAAAAGAGAGCTCGCATAGCCAAGTCAATTCTAAGCAAAAAGAACACAGCGGGGGGCATCACACTACCAGACTTCAAACTATACTACAAGGCTACAGTAATCAAAACAGCATGGTACTGGTACCAAAACAGAGATATAGACCAATGGAACAAAACAGGGCATCAGAGGCAACACAACATATCTACAACCATATAATCTTTGATAAACCTGACAAAAACAAGCAATGGGGAAAGGATTCCCTGTTTAATAAATGATGTTGGGAAAACTGGCTAGCCATGTGCAGAAAGCAGAAACTGGACCCCTTCCTGACACCTTACACTACAATTCACTCCAGATGGATTAAAGACTTAAACATAAGACCCGGCACCATAAAAACCCTAGAAGAAAATCTAGGCAAAACCATTCAGGACATAGGAGTAGGCAAGAACTTCATGACCAAAACACCAAAAGCATTGGCAACAAAAGCCTAAATAGACAAATGGGATCTAATGAAACTCCACAGCTTCTGCATGGCAAAAGAAACAGTCACTAGAGTGAATTGGCAACCAACAGAATGGGAAAAAATTTTTTCAGTTTACCCATCTGACAAAGGGCTGATATCCAGAATTTACAAAGAACTCAAACATATTTACAGAAAAGAAACAAAGAAGCCCATTCAAAAATGGGCAAAGGATATGAACAGACACTTTACAAAAGAAGACATACATGAGGCCAACAAATATATGAAAAAACGCTCATCATCACTGGTCATTAGAGAGACGCAAATCAAAACCACGAGATACCATCTCACACCAGTTAGAATGGCGATCATTAAAAAATCTGGAAACAACAGATGCTGGAGAGGATGTGGAGAAATAGGAACACTTTTACACTGTTGGTGGGAGTGTAAATTAGTTCAACCATTGTGGAAGACAGTGTGGCGATTCCTCAAGGCCTTAGAAATAGAAATTCCATTTGACCCAGCAATCCCATTACTGGGTATATATCCAAAGGACTATAAATCGTTCTACTATAAGGACACCTGCACACGAATGTTCATTGCAGCACTGTTTACAATAGCAAAGACCTGGAACCAACCCAAATGCCCATCGATGATAGACTGGATTGGGAAAATGTGGCACATATACACCATGGAATATTATGCAGCAATCAGAAATGATGAGTTCGTGTCGTTTGTAGGAACATGTATGAATCTGGAGAACATCATTCTCAGCTAACTGACACAAGAACAGAAAATGAAATACCGCATATTCTCACTCATAGGTGGGTGATGAAAAATGAGAACACATGGTCACAGGGAAGGGAGTACTACACACTGAGGTCTACTGGGGGGAAAAGCGGAGGGCCAGCGGAGGCGGGGGAGCTGGGGAGGGATAGCCTGGGGAGAAATGCCAAATGTGGGTGAAGGGGAGAAAGGAAGCAAAACACACTGCCATGTGTGTACCTATGCAACTATCTTGCATGTTCTGCACATGTACCCCAAAACCTAAAATGCAATTAAAAAATTAATTTTACAATTGCTTTACTGAACCTCAGTTCAGTTAGGTAATAAATCAATTCGGTCAGGTAATATTTATTATGTAATACAATGTTAGGGGAGAGACATATAACACCAATAGTTTCAATCTCATTGACTTTATAATCTACTAAGGAACTAAAGGTAAGTGCTAAAAGAACTGTAACACGATGTAAAACCTGTGAAAAGATTTAGGAGCAGCACAACTAATAGGAATTAGTGAAAATATACCGGCCTCAAGAATGAAAGGTGTGTAAGAAAAGAGTGACACCGAAGTAATTTTGTTTTTATTTATTTATTTTTAACTTGGATTCTCAAAAGACAGGTAGAAAACCGTCCTGGTTTGGCGTCATTAGCTTAGTTCAGTCCCTCTCTCTCACCGATTACAACTAAAAGACTCATGACAAAATACAAATGGCAACTACCTGCAGACTCTGAAAAGTAAATAAAGAATTCTGGTAGGGAGTCAAAACTCAGAATGCAAAAGGATTAATTTCCTGGCTTTTTTCTTTTCTTGTGGTTTGTCCTGAGGAGAGGCCCCAGTTGGGAACTGTTGGGTGGCAAAACTCAAATAGAAATCTCATCTTTCGGTGCTGAAGGGAAACAACTGATAGCCCAGAACTCTATTTCCAGTGAAAATATTTTGAGGAATCAAAGTGAAATAAAGACATTCTCATATTAAGGAATGTCAACTGATCTGCCAAAAGAAATGCTTGGCAGGGCATGGTGGCTCATGCCTGTAATCCCAGCACTTTGGGAAGCTGAGGCAGGCGGATCGCTTGAGGTCAGGAGTTGGAGACCAGCCTGGCCAACATGGTAAAACCTCGTCTCTACCAAAAACGCAAAAATTAGCTGGGCGTGATGGGGCGCGCCTGTAATTCCAGCTACTCAGGAGGCTGAGGCAGAAGAATCGCTTGAACCCAGGAGGCAGATGTTGTAGTGAGCCGAGATTGCGCCACAGAACTCCAGCCTGGGTGACATAGGCTCACTCTCAAAAATAAATAAATAAATAAATAAAAAGCGGGGGTGCGGGTGGGAGAAAGACTTAATGACTAAATAAATAAGGCTGGAGAGATGAGTTGCAAGAAATAGTAAGACTAAGGTTCGTAGTCTGGGAACCTAAGTGGATGAAAGTTGGAAGAATCAGGTGGAAAAGAACATTTCAAATAGACGATAAAGAAAAGTATATGACCTTTTGAGGCTGTGGTCCGCTTTGTTAAAGAGCAAAAGGAAGCAATTTCTCAAATCGATGCCATGCTCCTCTTCTTTACAACGATGGAATTATTTCAGGAATTGAGGTGGGAGTGTGCTTGAAACCACAGCTTTGGATCCCCGTTTCTTTCTTGAGCTACACTGTTTATTTAGGGCCACTAATTCGATGACTGAGCTTGGGCAAATTGTTACTTATTCTCTATGACTTAATCTTTCCATCTGTACAACGGGGATAATGTGGAATTTGGAGTTTTGTGAGGGTTGAGATAAAATACATGAAAACTTAATGAAGTTCAACAAATAAGTGGAGTGAAAGATGAACGACTCACGACACATCTCAGGGATTTCAAAAAGCTGTATTAAGGATCAGATATTCAGGCTCCCTCCGCTCCCCAGGAGACCCGGGGAGCCGGCGCAAGGCGCTATCGTTCAATTCTTGGCCCATTTTCCTCATAATGGTTTGGCCGCGTTTTACCTCTTGATTTTCCGGTCCCAGGCTGCGGCTTCGACTCGCTCCGCCATGGGGCGCACATCCGCCAGCCTCTGTGGGCTCAGCTAAGCAGATGCCGAGGCTGGAGAGCCGCGTCCAGTCTCCTAGGCAACCACATCAATTTCCGGCTTGAGGCGTGGTCCCGGTTGGCTAGAGGCCACATTTCTGCCACGTGACCCGCGCAGGCGCCATGTGTGCCGCAGGGCGCGCGTCCACTGACCGGAACACCGGCAGTGTTGCGAAGTTGGCCTTCTCAGTCCCAGCTTGGGCGGTCCCTTGGAAAGTGGCTGTCCCGGGCCTGGGGGCGGGGCCAGTGCTCGTCTCCGAGCTCTAGAGGTTCCGCTGAGAATTGAGAAGCGCGGCGGCAGCAAGACGCCTTCTCTGGAGCCGCCGAGCTGGAGTTGGAAGTGGAGCTCCGTGGGGCTGGGCCCCCGGCTGCGGGGCAGCGGCTCCTGCAGCCTGAGGCCTGGGCGGAGAATGAGAAAGAGCCAGAGACGGTGGCGGTCTCCCAGCCGAGCGGTGGGACCGGGAGCATGCTGCGGTGGTTCACCACTGTGATCCTGTTTTCTTCCTTCCTGGGGCTGGTGAGATCCCGGGCTTCAACCCTCCCAGGCCGGGGCGTTCGAGTCTTGCCTTCGCCACTTGCAAACTGACCTTAGGCGCATTACCTAATCTTTCTGGGCCTCAGTTTCATCATCTGGAAAATGGGCACCCTTCTAAAGTTGGAATGTTATTGTTAAGTGCAAAAGAGATTTTCTGAATATGTTTTTCAGCTCCAGCAAGCCTTTTTTATTTTTTTATTGAGACGGAGTCTCGCTCTCTTCCCCAGGCTGGAGTGCAGTGGTGCAATCTCGGCTCACTGCAGTCTCCGCCTCCCGGGTACAAGCGATTCTCCTGCCTAAACCTCCCACGTAGCTGGGACTACAGGCGTCCACCACTATGCCTGGCTAATTTTTGTATATTTAGTAGAGGCGGGATTTCACTATGTTGGCCGGGCTGGTCCCGAACTCCTGACTTCTGGTGATCTACCTGCCTCGTCCTCCCAAAGTGCTGGGATTACAGGCGTGAGCCACTGCGTCTGGCCCAGCAAGCCTTCCTACTTCTTCTTGGGATGCGAAAGTTGCAAGTTGCCCATGGCTTTGGCTGCTGCTCTCCTTACCCTGTCACTCAACCCCCAAATTATTACACAGAAAAACTGCTTTTCTTCTTCCTGGTGGTCTGACTTAATTAGTCCAACTGCTTAATTTTGCAAATAAGGAAATAGGCCCAGAGGGGAAAGTGACTTTTCTGGATCACACAGCTGGTTACTTAACCAGCCAGAAATATGATAGGGCCAGGAATATGTCTCTTACTTTGCCCACAGCCCTATTTATTAATAAAACCAACTTGAGATTCTTAAATGTTTTTCTTGGCGCAAACTGCAAGGCTAGAAGCGACTTTTGCCAAACCCCTGGGCAGCCCCTCGATTCACTTTTGGGAAACCTCCCGCTTATCACCTGATACATGATCCTTGGGGAGTTGGGAGGATGCGTCCTCTGAAGAGTCATTTGTGGTCACTTAGCATCTCAGGGACTCTGAGCCAGAATTGTTTCTTTAGAATATTTTGATTGGGGGTGGTGGGGAGGGGTGAAGAAAGAAATCACTTCAGACTTTTGGTGAGTCCTCACTGAGTGTCAAGTATGTTGTAAATCCTTTGAAGACATGAACTAATTTGATTAGATTCTGTGCTCAGAATTCTCTCGAAGTACTAGGAGCTTGCTGTGCACCTGGGCCCACATTGGTCCTTAGTCTTGGACTGTTAATGATTGTGCAGGGGGCGCACTTCATGCATTTAGAGCAGAGCAGGGCAATTAGAATCAATGATATTCTGGAAATGTAGACTGATTGGAAACATGTAAGTGTCCAGTGGATTTCCTCTGAAAGCCAACTGTAATCCTTACTTCTTGCTAACACTGCATTATCTTTGAGTAAAGTTTTCTTTTTAAAGTCATTCTATACTTGGACATGTAATATTTTCTAAGCAACCTTTACTGACTGTAATTCTGATGGCTTGGAAGAAAAGTGTAGATTTAGAAACATTTAAATTGTTTATATGTATAGTTCAGGGGAAGGACCCCATGTGCATCCAGAAATATTGCTGTTTAACAACACCAAAAAAAAAATGAATAATATTTTGATGTTTTGGTGTTTCCCAGTGGCTCAGTCAGAACTCACTACAGCCTCAACCTCAACGCTTAAGCAATCCTTCCACCTTAGCCTCCCTAGTGACTGGGACTACAGGCATGCACCACCACACCTGGCTGTGTTTTTTAATATTACATTTTATTAACAATACAGAATAGTCTTTTAAATATATTGTTCAGAAAAGAAACAGGATTGCAACAACAAAATTAATTTCTTAAAAATTGAGAGGTGTCAAAACAAACCAAAAAAAAGAGTTTTAGTCAAAACTAAAAAACAGTAGTCTAATTCCCTGCGTTACACTGTAAATCCCAAGCCCTATCTCCCCCTTTTATAGTAGAAGAAGCTACCACATAGTTAGACATTATTTTAATTATTGTAAGTAAGAGCTTTTGTCTTTTTAAATTTCAGGGATTGAGTGTTGCTATACTCGGACCCACGTTTCAAGATTTGGCAACAAATGTGAACCGAAATATCAGTAGTCTGTCTTTCATTTTTGTGGGTCGTGCCTTTGGATATTTGAGTGGCTCTGTGATTGGTGGAGTTCTTGTTGACATCATGAATCATTTTTTACTTTTGGGTAAGTAAATGCTAAGTTTACTTTCTTTATGACTATCAGTTAATTTACAACTTGTCTTTGAAAATATGAAAGCACTAGCATGAATGGTTGGCAGTCAAAATGGGTAGTGTTTAGGTGTCCTCAATGGCAGTTGGGTTTCCCTGGTACCTGCTTTCACCTTGACAGCTAGAGAGAATCTGTGTTGGGGGTCTCTGGAAATTTAGATTAGCTCTAAACTGTGTTAGCAATCCTTAGCCTTCCCAGCCACTATAATTTAGATAGCACTCCTGGATCACATACTGGTTGTCCAAAAATTCTGCTTATCAGGGTTTAGGCAGATTTCCTGGTGCCCCCATAGATCAGCAGGAGCTCCTTGATGCAGCCCAGCCTGCACCCTGCCCTGGAAATGAAGATGGGAGGGTGGGTGAACTGATGTGTTTTTGTCCCTACTGCCCCATGTCGTCGTTGAACAACACCAGGGGGCTCTGTCTCACCCAGGAAATAGGAATAGGAGGCAAAGCTTTTTTTTTTTTTTTTTTTTTTTTTTTGAGACAGGGTCTCCTCTCCCTCTTTTGCCCAGGCTGGAGCGCAGTGATGGGATCTCTGCTCACTGCAACCTCCGCCTCCTTAGCCTCCCAATTAGCTGGGACCACAGATGTGCGCCACCACACCTGGCTAATTTTTGTATTTTTAGTAGAGTTGGGGTTTCACCATGTTGCCCAGGTTGGTCTGGAACTCCTGAGCTCAAAAGATCAGCCTCCCAAAATGTTGAAGTTACAGGTGTGAGCCGCCACACCTTGCCTGGCAAAGCTTTGAACATATACTTTTTTAAAAATACATTGAAATATTTAGAGAAAATTTAGATTAATATAATAAAATTCTTTTGGAAGTAAGAATAATTTGTTGTTGTTAATTAATTAATTAATAATCTCTCTTATTTCCAAAGTGGGCGGAAAGAACATATTTCTTATCTTTTCCTCCCTATTTCTCAAACTAATTTATTTAGTAAATTTTACTACAACCTACTCTAGTAGTTGCATTTTATTTTTGTCTTTTTGATTTTTTGCCTCATGTCTAAAAATTTCTTTTAGGTTCTTCAGTGTGAATAATTTAAATTAATTTTGGCTTGTCTCTTTTGGTATAAAACTTTGCCTTGTGGTATAATTTACAGCTTGATTATTAGCAGTGCTGGAAATGTATTTGTGTTACAATTATTTATATTTCATAGTCCATAAAGATTATAAAAGATTCCAATAACATAACCACTTTTAGAAGCAAAAACTCTCATCTACTCATTACCTAATTTAAATTTGACCTTATTTTGCATGTTTGGACATTTATGATGTTGACTTGATCTACGACTTTGCATGGATATTATTTTTTATAGTTGACTTTCTGCCTTCTCAGGAGTGTCAATGTCGGCTACCACAGTTGGTCTTTATCTTGTTCCTTTTTGCAAGAAAGCAGTATTACTCACTGTCATGATGTCTGTCTTTGGTGCTTCAATGGGCATTCTGGATACAGGTTAGTGAGCTCTTCTGTGTCATCTCTGGGAGTAGGGACTTTCTACTAGAAGAAGTACAACAGATAATGTTAAATGATCACTTGCAATGCCCTGTAAAATGACACAGACCTACTGAGTTGGTTGTGGAGTCACTCAGAACGAATCACCCTTCTAGCAGCTATTCTTGCTAATTAGGGGGCCTATTTCTGAGCAGCCAAGTCTGAAATGGACTTAAAGAATTTCGTTCTATTAGAGATGGTTGATTTACAGTGTCAACAGGGAAGGCCCTGTGTGGGTAATTACAGTGCAGGTGAATAGGCTTTCATTTTGGGGTAGAACTTTATTGTGCTTATATGGGAGGAGTTGGTGGTTTAATAGGTTAAACCAAATTTGGAACCACTGTTTAGCTGAGAAAGCATAGAAACAGCAATCCAACTTGACATGTACCTTGACTTCGAAGCCAAGAGAGGTTCGTGCTGTGGACCAGGCTCTTTCTTTTCTGTTCTTTCTGTTGGGGAAATATTTTATTTTACTTCAGGCTTGATTTGGTTATGAAATTATAGGGTGGAATTACATATTTATCTGAAAATATCTGTTAAAAAAAAAGGTAGCCCAAGATGTACTGCTTCTTGCCTTTCCCCTCCTAGATGTTTAGACAGTATAAATGCAGTTGCTGACTGGTGTCCTTGTTCCCTCCAATGGGCACACCAGAACCCTGGAGTATTCAGGTTCTTGGATGTACGTTTTGCATCTGTTACATACATAAGTAAGTAATTTTCCTCAAGTGGTTACCAAGAGCAAGTACAGAAAACTTTGGTAATTTGGCTACCATCTGATGGTTAAAATTTTGCTTTCTAAATATATATATGTAAAATATTAATATATGAATATTTCTTCCCCAGTCTGATGTTAGAACTGCATTATAAAAAGCTTCTTGCTAGTGTCCTTGGCTCTTGGAGGTGGTTTACTAGACTGTAGCATTTGATTTGTGAGTATGCGATGTTATAATGCTTACGGTTGTCTGGTGGTAGTGGGTTAGAGTTCCTTTTCAGAGTTTATTTAGTTGCAGTGTTTGATAATTAGAATATTATAATGCTTGTGCCATGTGAAATAAACTCACCTCCTTTCTGATAAGTGAACTTAAAAAAAAAGTTACTATGTTTTACTTAAATAATTTTTCCCATCTTTCATTGATAGGTGGTAACGTCCTTGTCTTGGCTCTTTGGGGGGACAAAGGAGCCCCACATATGCAGGCCTTACACTTCTGTTTTGCTTTGGGTGCCTTTTTGGCTCCACTGCTAGCTAAACTGGCATTGGGTCCGACAGTGTCTGCTGAAAACCACACAGAGTCTAACTTTCATCGTCCTGCACTCAACCAGTCATCTGATGCTGACTCAGGAGTTCTGTTTGGAGTACCTAATGATATGACTTTACTGTGGGCTTATGCTGTTATCGGAACTTACATGTTCGTAGTTTCTGTCATTTTGTTTGCTCTGTTTTTAAAGAATAGCTCAAAGCAGGAAAAAGCAAGAGTGTCTGCTCAGACATCTCGAAGAGCAAAATATCACAATGCCCTTCTTTGTCTCCTTTTTGTGTTCTTCTTTTTCTATGTTGGAGCCGAGGTAACCTATGGCTCTTATGTTTTCTCATTTGCAACCACTCATGTTGGCATGAAAGAAAGTGAAGCCGCTGGGTTGAACTCCATCTTCTGGGGGACATTTGCAGCCTTCAGGGGCCTGGCAATCTTTTTTGCTACATGCTTACAACCTGGAACCATGATCGTGTTGAGCAACATTGGCAGCCTGACTTCATCTTTATTTCTGGTGCTTTTTGACAAGAACCCAGTTTGTCTCTGGATAGCAACTTCAGTGTATGGGGCCTCAATGGCAACCACATTTCCTAGTGGTGTTTCTTGGATTGAACAGTACACGACCATCCATGGGAAATCTGCAGCATTTTTTGTAATTGGTGCTGCCCTGGGAGAAATGGCTATTCCTGCGATGATTGGAATTCTTCAAGGAAAATACCCTGATTTGCCTGTAGTGCTCTATACCTCTTTGGGAGCCTCAGTAGCCACTGGTGTTTTATTTCCTGTGATGTATAAATTAGCCACTTCACCTCTTAATCGCCAGCGAAAAGAAAATAGAAAGAGTGAGGACCAGAAAGCTTTGCTTTCTAGCTCCGGGCTAAATGAATATGAGGAAGAGAATGAAGAGGAGGATGCAGAAAAATGGAATGAAATGGATTTTGAAGTGATTGAAATGAATGATACAATGAGGCATTCTGTAATAGAGACATCTGGAAATAGTTTGACGGTCCACAGCTGAAATCTGTAACCAACCCATCAAATGCAGTGGTGTTTGAGTCCTCTCCTGTTAATACTGGCAACTCCCATGTGAAGCACTTGTCTGAAACCAGGACTGACATCCCTAAATAATTGCCACTTCTAAGGAGGCCATTGAGAGCAGAGCATTAGCAGAATTTCACCATGCCTTGGGAATTAAAATTTCTAGGTCCAATTATAGTGAATGCTAAAAAGTTTTGAAATGTTCTGTAATTCCCAGAGTCTTCCATCAGTAACCAAATGGTCTCAAACACGTACATTGGGATCTTGTTATAAGGCTAGTATTTGGCATGTGACTGATTAGGAAATATTTTATGGTCTCTACCCCTCAGAGCATGCAAAGAGGCGTTTGTGTTTGAGAAGTTGGGTATTGTTCTCATAGAATGAGACCATGTAGGAGGTGAATTCATTGGTTGAACAAATTATCAGGTATCAGTACTTTGCCAGGAAAGTTGAGAATAGTTTTGTAAAAGAGAAATGGAGAGATACTATTATTAATTGCTTTCCTTATCTGTAGGGTTGGATCATAGAATGCTTGTGACTTATTTGATTTCTCATTTCAGTGAAGAAAACACAGAACAGGGCCAAGGGGCCTGGCTTCAAGCCTTGACTCCTAGCCTTTCACTCTCACTTAACATAGGCCTCATTTTTCTCTCCTCCTGATCGGTGATTCTAGAAATGAAAATGAGATGATTTCCAAATTGGGAATCCATACGTTTTAAAGTTTGTGCAAAATGTCTGCTAGAAATCAGTACAAGTGCCCCCTCCTCCCCGTTCTTCATTTCAAATGAGAAGTGAAACCAAAATGATAAATAGCTTTAAGAATGTGCTAATGAAAAGAAAAAAAGACAAAAAAAAGTGCTAATGATAAATGATTACATGTCAATTTAATGTACTTAATGTTTAATACCTTATTTGAATAATTACCTGAATTTAGTACTGTATTTCATTGACTCGTAAGTTGTAGTTTTTGTCCCCACACTTTTAATGTCTCTGAAATCAGGACATGTCTTACAATCAGTGATCATTTAACTTTGTGACAAAGTTCAGTTGGCATTTTTTCCCCATATGTATATATAAAATAATGTGTTTTACAATCAGTGGCTTAGATTCAGTGAAATACAGTAATTCATTCAATTATGGAGAGGATACTATCTTTACAGACACTTTAAAAAGAAGTTATTTTTATATGCTAATATTCTGTGTTCAAGTGGGATTTGGACACACTATGTTCTAATTTTAAAAGCTGTTTCAGAGTTACATTAGGAGTAGGGCTGTAGATGGAGTCTTTTGAGGTCCTTTGCCTACCTCAGTAACAGAGCCTGGGTCTGAGCCTTGCTCAAGATTAGCCCTTCACCATCTGGGTGGTGATCATATCGTAATTACTGTAAACCAGTTGCAAATGTAATTTACAGTGAGGCAGTCTTTTCCAGTGATTGGAATACTTGTGTCACCCATTCAGGGTTTCTCCTTCCTGAGTTTGAAATACCTGGGAAACCAAAGTAAAGATTAGAAAGTGACTTGGTGGCTTAGGAGTCAAGGATCAGAAAGGGTATTTCCTGTGTGCATGGCAAAATTGGTGCAGGCAGTCCTTTGAAAAATGCCTAGAATTGATGAAATTTTGTTTACTTCCCCCAGTTTTATGCTGAATAACATCTAATTTCTACCTGATTGGAGTAGTTGTGCTTTCTTTTACTTAATTTCTGTAAATGTGCAATTGTTTTTGTCTCAAGTAAAATACAGCATCTTTCTTGACCACTGCCCATTCACCTTATATGCCTGCCACAATGTTGGTTCATGTAATGACCTAACAACTTTGGAGAGGGCTCGTAGAGAAGTTAATGGTTAAAACCCTCTTACTCTTTTTATTTCTTTTTTGGGGGGGTGGGTGGGTGGAGGACGGTGTCTCTCTCACTCTTACCATCTAGGCTGGAGTGCAGTGGCATGATCTCAGCTCACTGCAACTTCTGCCTCCCTGGTTCAAGCGATTCTCCTGCCTCAGCCTCTTGAGTAGCTGAGATTACTGGCATGCGCCCCCATGCCCAGCTAATTCTTGTATTTTTAGTAGAGAGGGTTTACCATGTTGGCCAAGCTGATCTCAAACTCCTGATCTCAAGTGATCCACCCACCTCAGCCTCCCAAAGTGTTAAGATTACAGGTATGAGCCACCACACCAGCCCTTCTGCTCCTTTGTACTGTACTTTTCCCGTTAGAACTCGGAAATTACTTCTGCTTCACTTAACTGCTTTTTCTCAGGTTGTTGGAAACTAGGCAGTAGCAGTTACTTGGCAGAATAGGAATTCCACCTTCAGCATTTACTGTTACAGGGTAGAAGATGCAGCTCAGGGAGAGGATGATGATGATAAGAAGATGGAAGAAAATTTCAAAATCCACACTGGAAAATTCACTATGGTTTCACAAACCAAAATATGAATGGTCGTGTGAGATCATAGGCATTGTTAAAGTTCCATATTGGAAGGAAAAGACTTAGTACAATTCTAAGAATTAGCATTCATCCTACTGATCAGTTCTTAGGTAAGTGTCTGCTGATACCTGACTAACAAATACCCAAGTATTTTGTTGCTGGGTAACACATAACAAATTGAACACCTTAAAACAACAGACATTTACCATCTCACAGGGCTGCTTATAGGGTTTCTTACTCTTGTAGACTGAGTTCCCTGTTTCTTGCTGACTGTCAGCTGGGCACCACTCAGCTTCTGGAAGCCTCCCACAGTTCTGTGCCATGTGGCCCACTCACAGATGCCTCTCACAACATGGCAGCTTCCTCAAAGCAAGCAGGAGAATCTCCAAATGCGTCTTAGATGACGTTATGTCATTGTGGGAGTAACATCCCATTGCCTTTACCATATTCTAGTATCTAGAAGCAAGAGTAGAGGCCAGCACGGGGATGTGACTCATTGGGGATTGCCTTAGTCTGTCTGCCACAGTCAGGTACCTGTAAAATAGAGATTTTCAAAAGAGCTAAAAGCTGTGAGCTAAGAGCAGGGTATGATGGCTCACACCTGTAATCCCAGCTACTCAGGAAGCCAAGGTGGAAGTATCCCTTGAGTTCAGGAATTTGAGACCAGCCTGGCAATATAGCGAGACCCTGTCTCTAAAAATTTAAAGAGACCCCTTCTCTAAAACACAAAAAGCCAACAACTATGAGCTGGGGGAGAAAAGCTTCAGCAATCACTGAACGTGATTACAGGTACAGCTAGTATGGGGATGGAATATGACCCATTACCCAGGCCGACAATTCTTATATAGGAGAATCTTTTTTATGTTTGTAGGACAGTGGGTGAGTTAACTCAAGAGTTATGCCTCTTTTTTTTTTCCTCTCAATATTTTATTTCCCTTATCACTGTGCTTTTAACCTATTAAAATGCAGTTGAGGCCAGGTGTGATAGCTCACACCTATACTTCTAGCACTTTGGGAGGCCAAGGTGGGCAGATCACCTGAGGTCAGGAGTTTGAATCAGCCTGGTCAACATGGCAAAACCCTGTCTCTACTAAAAATACAAAAATTAGGCCGAGCGTGGTGGCTCATGCCTGTAATGCCAGCACTTTAGGAGGCCAAAGCGAGTGGAATGCCTGAGGTCAGGAGTTCAAGGCTAGCCTGGCCAACATGGTGAAACCCCATCTTTACTAAAAATACGCAAATCAGCTGGGTGTGGTGGTGCAGCTGTAATCTCAGCTTTTCAGGAGGCTGAGACAGGAGAATTGCTTAAACCTGGGGGGCGGAGGGTGTAGTGAGCTGAGATCGAGTCACTGCACTTAAGCCCCAGCCTGGGACAGAGCAAGACTCTGTCTCAAAAAAAAAAAAAAATAGCCAGGCGTGGTGGTGCACACCTTTAATCCCAGCTACTCAAGAGACTGAGGCAGGAGAATTACTATAATGACCCTACTGTGCTGTTGAACCCCAGAACTTACTCTTTCTGTTTTTTATATGTATTTTTTTAAGACAGAGTTTTACTCTTGTTTCCCAGGCTGGAGTGCGATGGCATGATCTCGGCTCACTGCAACCTCTGCCACCCAGGTTCAAGCAATCCTTATGCCTCCGCCTCTCAAGTAGCTTGGATTACGGCATCTGCCACCATGCCCAGCTAATTTTTGTATTTTTAGTAAAGACAGCGTTTTACCATGTTGGTCAGACTGGTTTTGAACTCCTGACCTCAGGTGATCCGTCCACCTTGTCTTCCCAAAATACTGGGATTATAGGTGTGAGCCACCAAACCTGGCTTCTGTCTAACCATATTTTTTTACCCATTAACCAACTCTTTTGACCACCACTCCACCCTTTCCAGCTTCTAGTAACCATCATTCTACTCTGCCTCCCGGTCATCAGTTTTTAAAGCTTTCATATGAGTGACAATATGCAATACTTGTTTTTCCGTGCCTGGCCCGTTTCACTTAACGTAATGACCTCAGTTTTATCCATGGTGCAGCAAATGATGACAATGTTTCATTCTTTTTATGGCCAAATAGTATTTCATTGTGTATACATACCACATTTTCTTTATCCACTTATCTATTGAAGGATACTTAGGCTGATTCCATATTTTGACTATCATGAATAGTGCCGCAGTAAACATGGGCATGTAGCTGTGTCTTTGATATACCGATTTTCTTTCTTTTGGATGTATATCCAGCAGTGGGATTGCTGAATCACATGGCAGAAGTATTTTTAGGTTTTTGAAGAACCTCCATGTTGTTTTCTACTTGTTAAACTAATTTGCATTCCCACCTGCAGTGTACTAGTGGTCCTCTTATCCTTTCCAGTATCTGGTTTTTTTTTTTTTGTCTTTTTGATAATAGTCATTTTAGGTGGGGTGAGATGATATTTCATTGCGGTTTTGATTTGCATTTCCCTAATTATGAGTGATAGATACTGAGCATTTTTTATTTTTAAATTTTATTTTAAAAAATAGAGACAGGGTCTCATTATGTTGCCCAGGCTGGTCTCAAACTTCTGGCCTCAAGCAATCCTCCCACAACCTCTCAAAGTTCTGGGATAACAGGTGTGAGCCACTGTGCCCAGCTTGTAGTATTTTTTAGGTTTTTTTTTTTGAGATGGTGTCTTGCTCTGTCACCCAGGCTAGAGTGCAATGGCGCTATCTTGGCTCACTGCAACCTTCATTTCCCAGTTCAAGCGATTCTTCTGCCTCAGCCTCTGGAGTAGCTGGGATTACAGGCGCCTACCCCCATACCCAGCTAAGTTATGTATTTTTAGTAGAAACAGGGTTTTACCATGTTGGTCAGGCTGGTCTTGAACTCCTGATCTCAGGTGATCCACCCGCCTCGGATCAGAAAAGGTTATATTTTGATCAGAAAAGAGATATATATTTTTTGAGACAGGGTCTTACTCTGTTGCCCAGGCTGGAGTGCAGTGGCTGATCAGGGCTCACTGCAGCCTCAAACTTTTAGGCTCAGGCAAGCCCCTGTCTGTCTTCTGAGTAGCTAGGACTACATGTGTCACCATGCCAAAGTTTTTTTTTTTTTTTTTTTTCTGTTGTAGAAATGGTGTATCGCTATGTTGACTAGGCTAGTTTTGAATTCCTGGCCTCAAGCAATCCTCTCATCTCAGCCTCCCAAACTGCTGGGATAGGTATGAAGTGCTGTGTCCAGCCAGAAAAGATTCTTGCAATGATTTTTTTAAATTAGTTGACATTTGGTTTTTGTGTTTGTTTGTTTAACATGTGGTCTATCTTGGAGAATATGCTGATGAGAAGAATGTTTATTCTGTAGCTGTTAGATGAAATGCCCTGTAAATGTCTGTTAGGTCCAGTTGGTCTAAATCTAATGTTTCTTTGCTGATTTTCTGTCTAGATGATCTGTCCAGTGCTGAGATTGGATTACTGAAGTCCCCAACTACTATTGTATTGGAGTCTCTGTGCCCCTTTATTTATTTATTTTTTTCGAGACCGGATCTCACTCTGTTACCCACGCTGGAGTGCAGTGGCGCGATTATGGCTCACTGTAGTTTCGACCTCCTGAGCTGAAGTGATTCTCCTGCCTCAGCCTTTTGAGTAGTTGGAACTACAGCTATGTGTCACCATGGCTGATTTGTTATTTCTTTAATAGAGGTAAGGTGTCAGTATGTTGCCAAGGCTGGTCTTGAATTGCACTCAAGTGATCTTCCCCCTTTGACCTTTCAAAGTGCTAAGATTACAGGCATGAGCCACTGTGCCTAGCCTAATTTCCTAATTATTTCTAGTAACAAGGTCTCACTATGTTGCCCAGGCTGGTCTCAAACTCCTGGGCTCAAGCATTCCTCCTGCTTTGGCCTCCCAAAGTGCTGGGAATATAGGCTTGAGATTTCCTTTAAATATATGAATGTTGGCTTTATTTATTTTGGTGCTCTGGTGTTTGGTGCATATATATTTACAGTTTTTTTAGCCTTTTGAATTGATCTATTTATTATTATATAATGATTTTCTTTTTTTTTTTTTTACAGTTTTGGATTTATCGTCTGCTTTATCTGATATAAGTATAGCTATTTCTGCCGGGTTTGGTTTGCTTTCTGTGGAATATCTTTTTCCATACCTGCAATTTCAGTCCATATGAGTGTTTATGGGTGAAATGAGTTTTTTGCAGGCAGCGTATATTTGGGTAGGTAATGGAATTTTTTTTGTTTTTTTTTGTTTGTTTGTTTTAATCCATTCAATCTTTCTATAACTTTTAGGTGGGGAGTTTAATCTGTTTATATTAAAGGCTATTCTTGATAGGTGAAGACTTACTCTTGTCATTTTGTTAATTGTTTTCTGATTGTTTTGTATATCCTTTGTTTATTCCACTCTTAATGTTTATCATTGTGATTTGGTGATTTTCCATAGATATAAGTTTTCTTTTTCTTCCTCCTTTGTGTATCTACTCTACTAGTACATTTTATGCTTTTGCATGTTTCCATGATGGTGATTATTATCTTTTTGTTTCCAGAGGCATTAGGCATTTCTTGTAATGCTGGTCTAGTTGTGATGAATTCCACCAGTTTTTGTCTGGGATCTTTGGTTATTTTTATTATGTCTTGTATTATTCTCTATTTCTGTGTTTTTTCCCCAGTTATTTCAGAGAAGATTGGTTCTTACACTGTGACTATCCTTTTCTGTTTATTTCATTTTAATTTTCTTAGAGACAGGGTCTCCATATGTTGCCCATTCTGGATTGCAGTGGTGTGATCATAGCTCATTGCAGCTTCAGACTCCTGGGCTCAAGCAATCCACTCACCTCAGTCTCTTGAGTAGCTGGGACTACAGTTGCATGCCACCTTACCAGGCTTTTTTTTTTCTTCAGAGACAGGGTCTCATTTTGTTACCCAGGCTGGTCTTGAACTCCTGGCTTCAAGCAGTCTTTCCACCTCAGCCTCCCAAAATTCTAGGATTACAGGTGTGAGACACCATATCCTATGCTGTGACTTTTCTTGTATATTGCTCTTATGACTTCCTTTGCTTAGATTTTTAATTGTGGAATGTGGTTAGTAGATTCTGTAATTTATTGCAGCTTGCCTTTGGTACATTTGGTTATGAGTTAGTTAATGGGTGGCCTGGAGGAATGTTTTGAAGTTAGATGACATGAGTAATACAAGGGGCTGGGCTTTTAGCTCAGAACAACTTGTTGCGATTATAAAATGTTTTTCTAATAACAAATTATTTATTTTTAATTTTGATAAAATACACATAATGGAAAATGTACCTTTTAACATTTTAAATTGTACCATTCAGTGGCATTAAGTATGTTCACATTGTGTACAACCATCACTACCACTCATCCACAGAACATTTTTTACCTTGCAAAACAAATGCTGTACCATTAAACAATATCTGCCATTCTATGCCCCCATCCCAGCCCTTGGCAACCACCATTCTACTTTGTCTGTCTATGAATTTGACTACTCTAAGTACTTAAGGTAAGTGGGATCATACAGTTTTTGTCCTTTCAGCACTAGCTTCTTTCACTTAACATAATGTCTTCAAGGATCATCCTTGTAGCATGTGTTAGAATTTATTTCTTTTTTAAGCCTGTGTGATATACCATTGTATATACATATTACCTTTTGTTTATTCATCTGTCAATGGATATATGTGTTGCTTCTACATTTTGGTTCTTGTTAATATGCTGCTGTGAATGTGGGTGTACAACTATCTCTTTGAGATCTTGTTTACAGTTCTTTTGAAATATATACCCATAAGCGGAATTGCTGGATCTTACGGTAATTCTGTTTTTAATATTTTGTTATGTTTGTATTATTTATCTTAGATTTTTTTCCTAATCAGGTTTTTCTAGAAGAGAGCAGCTTTAGCAAGAGAATAGAGAAACACATACTTTTAAAGTATTACCTCAGACTTCAGGCCTGTTATGATCGTATCAGTAGCACCTGTGTACTGAATAAGAGAACTCAAAGAAAGGTTATATCCGGCAGCTACCTCAAAGTTTTGTTATCTCTACTTGCAATTTTTGTTCCATCATTGAACAAGTGCTTGAGGGCTTACTGCATGTGAGGCTCTTTAGACTAAGTATTAATGAAGTTTCTTTTTTGTCCTTGCAGCACCAGGTACAGCTTTGATCTCAGTTTTCTGTCAAGTGAATGGTTCTATTTTGTGCTCATTCGTTTACAGAGATCCCTCTGACCACCTTGGAACCAGAAGGTGTGTGGTCAGAGTACCATAAATGGGCTGCTCTCTGCCACTCTCACAGCAGTTCTGCCCCTGCCCCCCACCTTGGGACCACTTGTTTTCCACATTCCTGGCCCATCCTCTGTATATATCTGATCCACATTCCAGAGGAAACCTGTTTGACTTGAGTAGATGCTTTGCCTCAGGAGTTGCTGGTTAGCCTACGAAGGGGTTTCCCTCGGGTTGATGACATTGCTCCCATCCAGAAAGTGGCTACTCTTACCCTCCTACTCCCACCACTCTGCATGCAGGAGCTGTTATCAAAAGGGATTTTTTACTCTCTGCTCTGTACCAAAGAAGTGCTGGGCTTCATAAATGTTGGTAATAGATGCCTGCATGGGATGCAAGTTGGTAGGCCCTGGGATGGATGGTCTGGTTCATCTTCTGCATCAGAACTGGAAAAACAAAATCACACCAAACTGCAGACTTTTTTGGAAGAGCATATTAGACAAGGTTTGTGGACTGTTTGATTTTTACCAAGAAAGAAAGTTTTCTCTTAGTAGGGTAGGATTTCTGCTTGAGTGAGCTCTAAGAGGATTCCCAGTTTGCAGGAGCTATCATTACAGCTGTCATTTGTGTGGACCAGTAAGTTTTTCAAATTTATGCATTTCAGTCATCTAATATTTTTACTGAGCATTTACCATGTTCAGTAATCGGGGCCCTGGGACTGTAACAGGAGAAGACAGATGAGATCCTTGCCTTCACCAAGCTTATGTTTTTCTATTTCAAGTAAATTTGCCATGACAAAATTTCTATCAGCAGAAGAGCCAGTAACTCCTATTGTAATAGGTTTTACCCAGTTTTAGAAAAGGAATGTGGCTAAACTCTTGGTTCCTTGGTGTGTGTTTTTGTTTGTGTATGTCTAGTACTTTTATGTGTCTTTGGAGTCATTTTTGATTTAGAGTTTTGTAGAAATTATTGCTTAGGTGAATATAGGTAAGAAGGCTTAAGAAGCCTACAACAAAGGAGTCTGACATGAACTTTGAGATTTGTTCAGTACAGCTAAGAGGACATATTTATGGTCTAACTAGATCTTGGATTACAGCTCCAAACACCACCGTTGGGCTGATAGAGCAGGCTCTCATTTCTCAGCCCTTTCCCTTGTCACTTGCAGTGAACTCTGCCCCCAGGGGTGGAGTGTCCAGTTCTGTGTCCAAGCACTCTATGAACCTTTATCCTTGTGGAAGATATACTCAGAGACAGAAGCATTTAGAAAAGGAAAAGTTTACCTTCAAAGAGAGCAAGAGAATGACTGGCTTGCCAGATAAAAAACATAAGTATTTGAAGGAAAAAATTAAAAACTGCCAAGGTTTCTGAGTTTGCATTAGTCTGTTCATGGGGGAAAAACAGTTAACTGCCTCATATAATCATTATATTCACAAAGGTTATGGCAAATCTTCATATGGAGTATATCAAAAACCAAGGAAAAAATTTCTTAGGTAGTCCAGGTTTATGGGAAACATTCAAGGTTTTATTGTTTCTTGGATCAGAAACAATTAGATGGCCCTACTATTTTTGTTTTGTCTTAGGGTGCAAAGTCTTCTGATGGCAATTGATACAGTTTGGCTGTGTCCTCACCCAAATCTCATCTTGAATTCTCACGTGTTGTTGGAGGGACCTGGCGGGATCATGGGGGCAGGTCTATCCCATGCTGTTCTCAGATAGGAAGTCTCATGAGATCTATTGGTTATTATAAGGGAGAGTTTTCCTGTACAAGCCCTTGTTTTGCCTGCTGCCACCCATGTAAGATGTGATTTGCTGCCCTTTGCCTTCTGCTGTGATTGTGAAGCCTCCCCAGCCATGGGGAAACTGTTAAGTCCAATAAACCTCTTTCTTTTGTAAATTGCCCAGTCTCAGATATGTCTTTATCAACAGCATGAAAACAGACTAATACAGTGGTGGAGGAAATTCTTAGCCTTCCTGAAGCAGGGGAAAGTGACATTTTGCTTCTACACTCCCCAGAATCCATAAGCTCCAGAAGGAGAGAGGACCCAAGGGAAGAACATGATTGCAAAATGTGTTCTTGTCCTCTGCCCAAGTGCTTAACCTTTGCTCCAGTGTTTTTTAAACGTGGCTGCTGTTAGAATCACCTGGCAATGTTTAAAAATGACTGATGCCCAGCGTTTTAACTTAAATATTAATTTGATGGGTCTGGCGTGGAGCCTGAGTATGGATATTTTAAAAAGTAACTCCTCCCCAATCCCCCATCATCGTAGTGTGCACCAAGATTGAGAACCACTGCTTTTATCAGCACAGAAAACTGGAACCTGTACTTCACAGTGTTTTGTTTTGTTTTAAGGCTAATTTACAGATTAAGTTATGCTGCTTTTGTAGATGCTTAAAATTCTGTGCACTTTCTCAAAGGAAAACCGGAGAGGAAGAGATCTGTTTTCTATTCGCTCCACTGCTGCTTGGTCCAGTGCAGGAAATAATGGCTGTTGTTTGAAGCCCTTCCTAAAACAAAAGCTCAGATCTTTTGGAGGGTGCCCTTCTAGGCAAGTTTTCACCAATCAATTTTGATTTGGGGGACTTAACAGGGTAAGAATGATCTCGTAGATTTTTTTTTCTTTTATCTTGTAGATTTATTACATCTGAATCTAAGACTAATCACCTAGGCTGGGTGTGGTGGCTCACACCTGTGGTCTCAGTGCTTTGGGATGCTAAGGTGGAAGGGAACCTTGAGCCTAGGGGTTCAACACTGCTGTAAGCCATGATCACACCACTGCTTGCGTGAGACTCTAACCCAAACAAAAACATAGACTACTCACTGTTTACATAGCTTTGTACAATATAAAATCTTGTTTGAATAAAATATTGATAAAATAGTGATGTTGGTTTAAAATTCATGTTTCAGTTGTTTCATTGATTTTTGAATTGATACATAATAGCTATACATAATTATATGGGTTCCCTATGATACTTTGATGCAATGTGTAATGAGCAAATCATGGTAATATGGATGTCAGTCACCTCAAATATTTTGTGTTGAGAACAGTCCAAATCTTCCAGCTATTTTGAAATATACAATAAGTTAGTGTTAACTGTAGTCACCCCACTGTGCTATCAAACACTATAACTTATTCCTTCTAACTGTATTTTTGTACTTGCTAACCAACCTACCACCTTCTGCTCTGTCCCCTGCCCTTCTCAGCCTCTGAACCATTCTACTCACTACCTCCCTGAGATTAATATTGTAGCTCACACATATGAGTGAGAACATGCAATATTTGTCTTTGTGTTAAGTGAAGTAACTCCCTTAACATAGGGTCCTTCAATTTCATCCGTGTTGCTGCAAATGATAGGATTTCATTTTATTATGGCTGAATAATATTCCATAGTGTATATATCACATTTTATTTATCTATTCATCTGTTGAAGGACACTTAGGTTGATTCCATATTTGGTCATTATAAATATTGCTGTAGTAAACATGGGAGTGCAGCTCCCATGTTTGGTATATCTCTCTGATACACCAATTTCCTTTCATTTGGATGCCAGCAGTGGAATTGCTGCATTATATGGTAGTTGTATTTTCAGTGTTTTGAGGATTCTCCATACTGTTTTATGTGGTGGCTGTACTAATTTATATTTCTCAGACAGTATAGCAGCATTTCACTTTCTCTACATCCTGGCTAGCATCTCTTATTTTCTGTTTTTTTGATAATAGCCATTCTGACTGGAATGAGGAGATATCTCATGATTTTGATTGCATTTTGCTGATTATTAGCAATGTCAGGCATTTTCTCTTTTGTTGTCGTTGTTGTTTTATAATCAGTCTCTGCTTATCCAGAGCATTTTTCATATACATATTGGCCACTTATATGTCTTCTTTTGAGAAATGTCTAGTCAGCCAGGTGCAATGGCTCACACCTGTAATCTCAGCACTTTGGGAGGCTGAAGCAGGTGGGTCACCTGAGGTCAGGAGTTCAAGACCAGCCTGGCCAACATAGTGAAACCCTGTCTCTAGTAAAAATACAAAAAAATTAGCTGGGCATGGTGGGCAGGTGCTTACCATGGTAATTCCAGCTACCAGGGAGAGTGAGGCAGGAGAATCGCTTGAACCTGGGAGGAGGAGGTTGCAGTGAGCCAAGATCGTGCCATTGTACTCCAGCCTGGGCAACTAGAGTGAAACTCCATCTCAAAAGAAAAAGAAAAGAGAGAAATGGCTATTCAGATCTTTTGCCCATTTTAAAATCAGATTACTTGTTTTTTGTTTATTTGTTTGCTGTTGAATTGTTGAGTTCATATGTATTCTGATTGTTAATCTCTTGTCAAATGGGTAGGGTTTTTTTTTTGTTCATTTGCTTGTTTTTGAGATAGGGTGTCACTCTGTCACCCAGGTTGGAGTGCAGTGGCATGATTTCGGCTCACTGCAACCTCTGCCCCCCAGGTTCAAGCGATTCTTCTGCCTCAGCCTCCCTAGTAGCTCGGACTATAGGCATGTGTCACCACGCCCAGCTAATTTTTGTATTTTTAGTAGAGACAGCGTTTCACCATGTTGGCTAGGCTGGTCTCAAACTTCTGACCTCAAGTGATCCACCTACCTCAGCCTCCCAAAGCGTTGGGATTACAGGTATGAGCCACCATACCTGGCCAGGTAGGGAGTTTGCAAATATTTCCTCCCATTCTGTGGGTTATCTCTTTGTTGATTGCATCCTTTGCTGTGCAGAAGCTTTTTAGCTTGATGGAATTCCACTAACCAATTTTTGCTTTTGTCACCCATGCTTTTGAGGACTTAGCCCCCAAAAAAATCTTTGGCCAGATCAATGTCCTGAAGTGTTTCCCCATGTTTTCTTCTAATAGTTTCATAGTTTTAGGTCTTATATTTTAGTCTTTAATCCATTTTGATTTGATTGTTGTATAGGGTGAGAGGTAGGGGTCTAGTTTCATGATTCTGCATATAGATCCTCAGTTTTCCCAGCACTATTTTTTTCAGATACTGTCCTTTCCCCATTGAATATTCCTGGTGCCTTTGTTGAAAATGAGTTGACTGTAAATGTGTGGATTTATTTCTGGGTTCTCTATCCTTTTCCATTGGTCTGTGTGTCTGTTTTTATGCCAGTTTCAGTGATGTTTAAAAATGAGTTTGGCATCTCTACTTCAGAAACTAGTCAAGAATATATACAGAGTTTAGAATATGAGTGCTCCAAAATATATGTGATGGTTGTATTGGATTCCTAAAATAGGAATAGTATTTGTACTTCATATAGACATTTTGAAAATGACATATAAATTCTCTAGTAATATCTCACATCTTTAGTAACATCCAGTCTACTCACTAAGTAAATATTTTACTTAAATAATAATTTCCTAATCTAGGTGATTATAGATGTTTCTGTTTTAGAGTGGAAAAGACGTTTTCAAAATTGTATGTCAGGTAGGAATTGGGATCCTTCTCCTGACTTCCCTTCCCTACAGGTCCCAACAGCTGAAAGCTTGCCCTTAGTGACCACAGTCCTATTTTTAACTTGTTTAAAACAACCATAGTGATAATCTGGCTAAACAGTTCTAACTTGGAGCATGATTCAGGTGTTTCCCCATGTTCCCCATGAAACCTTCCCATCCCCCTTTACATGTTCTGAGTCTTGGTGTATAATAGCCCAGCAAAAGGGGAAATCCCTTATAAAACCATCACATCTACCAGGACTTATTTACTACCATGAGAACAGCACGAGAAAGATCCAACCCCATGATTTGATTACCTCTCACTGGGTCCCTCCCATGACATGTGGGAATTGTAGGAGCTACAATTCAAGATGAAATTTGGGTGGGGACACAGCCAAACCATATTATTCCAGCCCTGACCCCTCCCAAATTTCATGTCCTCACATTTCAAAACCAATCATGGCTTCCCAACAGCTTTCCCCACCACAAAGTCTTAACTCATTTAGAAGTCCACAGTCCAGGCTGGGCGTGGTGGCTCACGCCTATAATCCCAGCACTTTGGGAGACTGAGGCGGGTGGATCACAAGGTCAAGGGATCAAGACCATCCTGGTCAACGAGGTGAAACTCCATCTCTACTAAAAATACAAAAATTAGCTGGGCATGGTGGAGCGCGCCTGTAGTCCCAGCTACTCAGGAGGCTGAGGCAGGAGAATTGCTTGAACCCAGGAGGTGGAGGTTACGATGAGCTGAGATCACACCATTGCACTCCAGGCTGGGTAACAAGAGTGAAACTCTGTCTCAAAAAAGTAAGTCCAAAGTCTCAACTGAGTCAAGGCAAGTCTCTTTTGCTTATACACCTGTAAAATCAAAAGCAAGTTAGTTACTTCCTAGATATAATGCAGGTAGAGGCATTGGGTAAATACAGCTCTTCCAAATGGGAGAAATTGGCCAAAACAAGGGCAAAAACCTCAGGCCAGTCTGAAATCCAGCGGGGCAGTCAAATCTTAAAGCTCTCAACATTATCTCCTTTGACTCCATGTCTCAAATCCAGGTCACTCTGATGTAAGAGATGGGTTTCCATGGCCTTGGGCAGCTCCACCCCTATGACTTTGCAGGGCATAGCCCCCCTCCTGGCTGTTTTCATGGGCTGGCCTTGAGTATCTGTTTTTTCCGGATGCATGGTGCATGCTGTTGGTGGATCTACCATTCTGGGGTCTGGAGGATAGTGGCCCTCTTCTCACAGCTCCACCAGGTGGTGCCCCATTAGGGACTCTGTGGGGGCTCCTACCTCACCTTTCCCTTCCACAATGCCCTAGCAGAGGTTTTCATGAGGACCCCACCCCTGCAGCAAACTTCTGCTGGGCAACCTGGCATTCCCACATACCCTCTGAAATCTAGGCAGAGGTTCCCAAATCTCAGTTCTTGACTTCTGCACACCTGTAGACTCAACACCACGTGG